ATATATATATATATATATATATATATATATATATATATATATATATATATATATATATATATATATATATATATATATATATATATATATATATATATGTTTTAATTAAATATTAAGATATTAAGATACAATATTAAGATACAATAATTTAGATAACATTTTGTTAATTATGTGACAATAATGCTAAATAGGATAAATAATTATAATTATAAATATTATAAATTTGCAAAATTACTTATAGTATCTTCTTGATATCTTCTATTAGTTAATCACAGCTAAAGCCAGAGGCACACAATATTTTTTTTCTGCTGGTTTTTCTTGCTAGCTGGATTCGCGTGTTTACTGAGCTCTTATCTTCGATTGGTATATTTTTTTAGATCTAAAAGAATATACCAATCAAAGATAAAAGCTCAGCAAGCAAATTCAGCTAGCAAACCAGCAGGAAAAAAAGCATCGTATGCTGCTGACTTAAAGGAATATAAGTATCGGTCCACAATAGATGATTTAAGCTTTAAGAAGTAAGAAATTGACCAATTATAATCGAATATGAAAAGAATACTCGACTATGATTAGTCAATTTCTTATGGCTTAAAGATTAAATACTTATTGTGGACCGACACTAAGACAGCGTTGAGTTGAGTTGTCATGACTTATGAAGATACTAGATGATTATATGTATTATATTTTTTGATCCTAGTGGAACTAACTCGAATTTGAGTTATAGGGTGCTTTTCATTTAGTGACACAAGTATTGTTTTATCTTTCTTAGTTTTCAATAATTAACAAGGACAAAATAAATTCTGGAAAGTACCCATAAGCACCCAAAGACTACCATGAAGTTCTTCTCGAGCTGTTAAGTGGATTGGTCGTCTTTTGTTCCCATAAAAATTTTTGTATTGCGTCATCACGCTTTTTCTTCGATCTTCGTTCAGACATTTGTCGTTTTCTCTCAAATTATATTTTATTGAATTGAATCGTAATCTGTATTGGCGCCGTTAGTGTCGATCCACAATAGGTGATTTAAGCTTTAGAAGTAAGAAATTGACCAATTATAATCGAATATGAAAAGAATAATCGACTATGATTGGTCAATTTCTTACGATTTAAAGCTTAAATCACCTATTGTGGACCGACACTTAGGCAGCCACGACTAAGAATAAGGAGTAGTAGACCATGTGGTTATCTTGTTATTTTAATTTTCTTTATGCATAATTTAAACATATAAGTATTTCATCAATTTCATTTAATTTCGAATTATAAACAATGCCGAAAATTCGTACGCAAGTTAATTGTCGCGTTCATACAGAAGTGGCAAGACAAGGTGAGCTCTTGTTTAATACATATCATATATATATATATATATTATTTATAAAATAATTAAAATGCAAAGAAGTTGATAAAACATTTGGTAAGAAATACATTTAATTCTTTTTCTTACAGGAATCTTATTTAATAAGGATAAGGGTCAGCATATATTGAAAAATCCTTTAATTATTCAAAGTATAGTTGAAAAAGCTGCCATTAGGTCAACTGATGTTGTATTGGAGATCGGTCCTGGTACAGGTAATATGACTGTGAAAATGCTGGAGAAAGCAAAGAAAGTAATAGCATGTGAAATTGATTTGAGAATGGTAGCAGAATTACAGAAGCGTGTTCAAGGAACTATATATCAATCAAAATTACAAATAGTGATTGGTGATATATTAAAATCAGATCTACCTTTTTTTGATTTGTGTGTCGCTAACATTCCATATCAGATATCATCACCATTGGTATTCAAATTACTTACACATAGACCACTTTTCAGGTAATTATATATTTATACTATACATTATACTATACATACTATACTATACATTATAATAGATATTCTTAAATGTTCAATTCTAAAATAATTCATTAGTTATGAATTATGGATTCTTATATGATATTAAGAAACATTTTATAATGGTTCTAAGTAGAGCCAGCAAATTTTTAGTACACAAGAAAAATGACATACATGTATTTTTCATAGATATGCTGTGCTTATGTTTCAAAGAGAATTTGCAGAACGTTTGGTAGCTAAACCTGGTGATAAATTATACTGTCGCTTAAGTATTAATACGCAATTGTTGGCGCGAGTAGATATGTTGATGAAAGTTGGAAAGAATAATTTTAGACCTCCACCCAAAGTTGAATCAAACGTAGTGAGAATTGAACCAAGAAATCCGCCGCCTCTGATTAATTATCAAGAATGGGATGGTTTGATACGAATAGCATTTAACAGAAAAAATAAAACATTATCTGCAGCCTTCAAGCAAACTACGGTTGTCACTATGTTAGAGAAAAATTATAAAATTCATTCTAGTTTGAACAACAAAGTAAGTTTACAAAAAATAAATAAAAGAAACTTGTAAATATGAATTAATCTTTGATGTTAAAATATTTGTTATTACATTTTTTATATTTGCATATATTTATAGATTGTACCAGATGATTTTGATATCAAGCAATTGATAAACTATGTATTAGAAAAAGCAAATGCTGAAAATAAACGAGCTAGAACTATGGATATAGATGACTTTATCAGGTATGAACAAGTTAACATTTCGTATCTTTTGTATACATTGATTTTAGTAAAGCTAACTATTCAAAATTATTTAAAAATTTTTATATAGCATTAATTCTTTTTATTTAGTGTCTACATTTTGTTGTAATATAATCATAAAAGCTAAATCATCAAAATTAATGACAAAATATGAACAGTTAAAATTAACTATACTTTTTTTCAGCCTTTTACATGCATTCAATGCTGAAGGTATGCATTTTACATAAATTATGAATTAGGACACTATGAATTAAAATTATTCATAAATATATGTATATAACTTAAAATAATATATAAATAAACAAGCTTTTGTGTAAGAAAATGATTCTGATGTGTTTTAAGATGTATTTGTTTTTAAAATTATACTTATTTTTTACATTATATAAGGTAATTCTTATAGTAACCAATTTATATCACTGGAACAAAAAAGTATCAAATGTATAAAAAATTGGTTATACATTACTGATGTATTATATATAATCAAAACATAACATGATCAATCATATCAATCATACATAATCAAAACAAAACATTATATATAATCAAAACATGTATACAGAATTATATATATGAATTAATTAGATGTTATTATTTTATATTTATATTTTCTATGATTCTATTGACATACAATACTTCTAATTTATTTTTTCATGTTAAAAAATTGCATTATTCAATAAATGCATAGATTCAATCTTTCACATATAAAAAAGGAAATTATATTTCTGTAAAAAATAATTTGTAGTAAAATTATATTGAAGAAAGGAAAATAATTACTTTAAGGCTCCTGACTAGTTATCGCGGTCATATTGGAATCATGACGTCATAGGCGAGAAATGACAAAGTTTATGACGGTAGTTTTGCAAATAAAGAGATATTTGACTAAAATAACACCTGATATGGCTTTAAGACACTTGTGAAAATGGGCGGCTGCTATTCTTTCTCTTCTTGATAGTCAATAAAATGCTGTAAAAGGCGCGTGAAATGAAGCTTGTTCAGATAGGAGACACACGATTTGACAGCTATTTAAAGAAGTGGAAAAAATGCTTTCACATATAATGTCCGACAATAATTTTAGCTGCCGCCCATTTTTACGACTCTAGTAAGTACGAAACAAGTCATATCTGTACAATTAAGCACACAATAACGAAAATAGTTATAAAAAATTTCATTGTCCGCATGTCACTCGTATAAGAATGAACAAAACAAGGATAAAATGAACAAGGATGTATGAGCTTCTATTTTTCACTGCGACAGTGCGTCGCTACCATCAACGCGGAGTTCTTCGCTGAATAGTCAGGGGCCTTAATACGTGAAAAACTATCATGCTGCACTCATGCATGGGCGCGCGCGCGCGCGCGCGCGTGGTGTGTGTGTGTGTGTGTGTGTGTGTGTGTGTGTGTGTGTGTGTGTAGTAGTAGTAAGT